CAATGAGATGTTTCTAATTTATTGGCATAAAACATTGGATTTTCCTTGAATGCCCTGGAGTTTCTGATTCACCAGCTGAAAACTATTATTACAGAGCACATAATCACTTGGAAAGTGCCTCTGTCTTATCTTTTTTTTTTTTTTTGTGTTAAATTCAGCTACATAAATAGCATTTTTATAGCACAAAGGCCAAAAAGATATCAAGATGTTCTGTATTTCAGTTTTGTTTTTACCTTAGGGAAGCTTGGTCAGTAGTGGCACTCACAATTGATGTGAACCTTGGGCACTGTCTGTGAACTTGCCTCACAACACTTCTGCAAGAGGCTCCAATCAACTGAACAGCTCCAAGCGCACAGGCTGGGGTTGGCATTGTGACAATTTTGACTGGAAGTACATTTTCATCACAGCAATGTTTGGTTATCCTTCACTGTGAGGGTGGAAGGGCTTTGCTAGCATCTTGTTAGATATAATTCCAGCAACTACAAGAGGAGCAAAGAGTCCAGATTGTTCCCAGAACTAGGACAGAGGATTTCTTGGCCCAGTGTTGCTATTGCCTGCCTTCATTTGAGTACATTTCTAATCTCCCCTCTGTTATTTTAAATGTGTTCTGATTGGGTTTTAGTCTTAAAGGAGTATCAGGCTCATTAATAGTTTTCAGTAGCTCAAAAAGAATTATTAAATAATCTTAGCCCTCCAAGCCTTTCTTACTTCCTCCTTTCATGAACAGCAAAATGGCCTTACCTTTTGCACAGACCCTTGATGTTCTGGGTATCAGCTTAGATTCACACCTTGGTTTAGATTTTCCCCCCTAAGCTTGGAGCAGGGCTTCATGGTGGGTCTGTCACACTGCTGATCCTCGATGCCCACAAATAAAGCTTCTGTCCATGGATCTGATCTGTGGCAGGCCAGGTGGGCATGATGCTCTTTGTATGAGATCGGGAAATAAAGGTGTAAGTCATTATCAATGTCCTTATTAAAAGTCCTGAGAGGTGGGGAAGGCAGGAATCTTTCCTCTGGGAACGTAGGCACATGTAGTGTGGCTGTTGAAAGCAGAGACTCAGCACGGTGCTCAGAGTTCCAGTTGTGAACAAGTGGATTCAGCAACTTGCCCAAACTGCTAAAAAAAGCTTCTTGGTACAGTTTTCTTGGTAGTGGTAAAAGAAGTACATTGTTCTAAAACAGTGGTGTGACAAAGATGTCTCCTGATCATTGGAAGCTGGGAGCTGGTTTCATCTTTCTGTGTCTCTGTAGGGGGTTGGTGCATTCCCAGGCAGAGAGATGAGTCTGTGCATTTCTTCCTCATCTGGTATTTCAGAAATGATAGAACTCACTTAAAAATTGTTCAGTTATTATATTTTGGTACACTATGCTCAACCTGTGCTCTGTAAGACTCCCTGCAAGGGAGGAGCTTGGTAGAAAACTTTTGCAGGGGCCACACAAAAAGTGACTGAAGCAAAGGAAGTCTGTGCCCATGCTCTCCAACAGCTTGAATAAGGGAAATTGTAAGAAATGCACATCTGATGGCACTTTTTCAGGAACCTACATATCAAGAAGACTGAAAGACACTTTGGTAATATTACAAACCTCTGCATTGTGGTAGTGTTTGAAATTCTGCTCATAGTCTTCTTTTTTTAGCCATACAGCAATTGCACCTCTCAATGGGAATGCTACTCAGGAATAACGATCCTATCAAGACAAGGGAATATAGATTATAGTAAAGGTTATGATGGTTTCTGTGAGAAGCTTAACATTGATCCTTTTAGCTATCTGATTTTCCAGGAGGGAAAAAAAGCATAACAACTTTGAGTTAGGCATGTGATTTGGTGTGAAAATTCTCATGATTAGTTTTAGAAGATGGAACTCGAAGTGAATTTGCTAAACTTTTTTTCTCTCTTTTTTTTTGGATGAGTACTTTTGAAAAGAAATGGATTTTTATTTCCCACACAGTTTATGTTTTTCTCAGTTATTTTACTTTTTTTCCCCTTCTAATGCAAGTCAAAACTGTTACAGAATTCAAAAGCAAAAATCTGTTATGTTGAAAAGGCCATGTTGTGAAATATATCATAAACACCCTGTTAGAGCAGTGTCTCCTAATTAAGGGAGAGAGCTCCTGGGAAACAGCGAGCCTGTGACACAGCTCAACCCCCTTTGATCCTCTGTTGAGTTTTTAAAATCATTGCCTGCCTAAACTTGTCTGCAGCTTGTTACACATTTTATCCATCTGCTGCAAGAACAAAAATAAATGATTTATAATTCAGTTGAACTCCAGTTGTTCCACGTATCACTGACTGTGGAGTCTTCAATAAGAGGGAGAAGAGAGGAGGAAAAGCCAAGCAAAGGCTAAATGGAGTCAGGCACCCTGGAAAAGGCATTGCTTTTGGCTGTAGGGATTGTATAGGTACTGAGTTGCAAGTTCCGTGAGTGAGTTGCAGGTGTTACTGTAAAATGGTTAGGAATTTTTGGGTGAAATGTAGTTCAGTCTATCCATTGTCTATAAACTGAAATCAAAGCACTTGTAGGGGTTGTCTGGCTTTAATCCAGACAAATATCCAGGTCTCGGGTAGAATTGTGAATGTGAATATTCGAATGGGTTTGCATTGTGTTTTCCCCCAACCTACTCATAGCAAGGTGATCCAGGCAATTACTTGGTGCATGAAAGTTCATGTTCAGGTTTTATCTACCACTTTGGATGAGTGGGTGACCACATCCAAGCCCTGCAGGTGGCTGCTAATCACTGCGTTAATTCCCTCGCTAAAGTAAAATCTTGCCTTGGAAACTTCCTCCATCTTTATGGTTGTGATTACCAACCCGTCTGTGTCAGAGTCTCTTGTGCAGGACCACGATGTTTGCCTGAGCATGGTGCAGTCAGCCACAGCATCCCGGAGCAGTGGGATGGCTCTGTTGGACCAATTAGGTGTTAGCTCGTAAATCTAATAACAAGAGGAGCTAATTATTCCCTATGCAAATATCACAAGGCTATGTTCTGTTGATTTTTAGAACAGATCAGCACTTCATTTTAGCACCCATATGTTTTATCCGTGTTGGTTAGCTATCACTCCTGGATACCTGCATCCCTCTGAGGGCTACTATTGTCATGAGTCTTGTTCCTGAGATGGAGGCCGATTTCATTAGAAGTCAGAGATTCATTTGCTGTTGCCTGTAAATAAATGGCAGGTTAAAGATTTATCTAGTATCCAGTACTTACCCATCTGAGTTTATCTCCTTCCATGTCTGGGAGACCCCCACTGTCACAAGTAGTTACAAGAAGTCTCCTCTCAGTGGCTTCTCTGGTGCTGTGATTTACCAGTAGCAAATCTTCAGTGTGCTGAAAATGTGTTGTTGGGAGCATGTAATCTCTTTAGGTCTATGAGAAAATAAGTTGCACAAAGCAGAGTGGCTTTGCCAAGGGCAGGGTTGGAAAGAGGAGAGTCAGTGAAGGGAACAGCTCACCTGGGAGGTTGGGCTATGACACTGTCTGTTCCTTGCCAAAGATTTAATGCATGGCAGGGAGCTGTACCCGGGTCCCAGTGGCTGAGCCAGAGGCCGGTGGCTGACAGACAGATCCTGGAACAGTCTGTGCCCTGAGCACAGAGTTTGTAACAGCCATCAGCTTTTAAAATGGCTTTAGTAACCTACATTCATTCACTGCCCTTGTAAGGACTGTAATTCTTAGCACATGCTGAAGCTGCTAATAAACCTGTTAGAAGTGTATGCAGCATAACTCAACTTCACTGAACAAAATTATTTGGCACAGGTGTTTTAAAAAGTAAAGTCTTATTAAGTCACTGATCTCATCTGTAAAAGAGCTGCTCATCAAACAAGGTGGGTTTTCCTTAGTCCTTGCTCCATTTCAAAATCCAAAATACTGGAATTCCCACTACATTTCTCTGGAGACCATTTCACAGGTAATACACATTGCTGCTGAGCTTGTTTTCTTGCAGCTTACATTGTATTTACCCTTTTATGATATGATTGCTTTTAGACCTATCGATTCAGCAAGACACTGGTATTACTTTTTGAAACTTCTTTTTGCTTCTTTTTGGTTGTCTCTTAGTCTAAAATCTGCAACTATTTAATTCTTTCTTCCTAAAGCCATCATCCTATTTGTAGGTTTCTCCTTCTTCTCAGAGTTCCTAAAAGAATATCTGTCTTGTGATAATGTGGGAAGATGTATGTCGGGCAAAAAGGCATGTTAACTTTCTGCAAGTTATGTTTTTATTTAGAGTTTAGATGAATTTTGAGAAAACATCATATTGACATGACACCAGTGCTTTTGTTAAGTTGCTTCTGTTCCCAGCCATTTCATACCTATAATATTCCACCTCCTCTGTTTTGTTTCTTTTTTTCACTTCTATGGAGGGTGAAACAACTCTGTGTTGTGTTGCTCTGTGGGCAGAGAGAGCTTTTTCAGAGCCTTTCTTCAGCAATGCATTTGAGATAGTTGTCTGCCATGGGCTGGTACTGTATCCTTTGGGCCTCTCGCTTTATTCACTCAAAACATAATTCTCCCCAAATTGTCCTCCCTTCAATTTTCTCACCTGGACAGGCTAATACTAAGGATGTGGTAGTAGTTGGGACCAGGATACTATTTGAGATTTTTGATTGCAGGTTGTTTTGTACTTTTTTTTTTTACCAGGTCTGTTGACAGCTGTAACCAGAATGTGTGCACTTCGAAAAGGTACTTGTGTTCCAATGTTCTGTGTTTTTATTTCTTTATAAGGTTTAGAAATTGAATAAAAGCCTTCCAGATCTCTGCAGGAATATATGTAATTTGTCCATCATTTCTGGATTTCTAGTGGTATTCTCAATGGGTAGAAGTGCTTTTTCCATTTTTCCCTCTCAGTTCTAGACATCTTACGTAGATAGTGTGTCGACAGGTGTTGATGGACAAGCAATTTACAGTAATCTCTTATGGTGCTTATTCTGTAGCTCCCTGAATTATAAGTGACATGCTGGCAAAGCTGAACAACTGATCACCAGATACTGGCATAGTATTAAACATGGCTTCTGAGGCTGCTCAGAATTTCCTTCAGCCACTGTCTTCTTGGATGTCTCAAATATATGAAGCTCTCCAACAAGCAGGAGACTCTATATCTACTTCACTGCTGAATTTGAGTGGAGTGGGTCGTAAGTCAGAAGAAGAGAGGAAGCAGGACTTGGAGAATAATGGAGGAGTTTATGAGGATTATTCTGAGGAATCGGAGGATGAACAAGACCTGGACCTCTGGGATGAGGAATATTTATATCCTAGAGAAGATGGTTACATTGGGGGTCCTGATCTTGCTTCGCAAAACCTCCCTCATGGCTCCGACTTGGGTCCACAGAGGCAAAAACGGGTTAAAAATACCAGCACCTTGCCAGAGCACTGTGTTGAAAACACCAGGTCTTTGACAGCCAATGGATCCTACTGGACAAGTGAAGATCTCCAGCCACTTGATCGGCTTCCTCCCATCGCTGAGGAAGAAGGTGAGCCCTCTATGAGGATGGGAGGTCATGAGCACAACCTCAGCTTGGGTGACTCCTTAAAAAGTAATAATGACAAGGCAAGTTTTGCAGGTAAGCAGCCAGCATGCACCCTGACAGTATTACCCAGACCGTTCTTTTCCTGGTATTGATTTGATTTAGTTGCTAATCTGCTCATTATGTTCTGTGTTGTCTTTGTTTCCCCACAGCTAAAATAAAACTCCCCAAATCCCAAAGAAAAATCTAACCTTTCCAGTTCTTCTCTCATTCGTGAGACTAATTTCATTGAAGTAAGTGGAAATCTCCAGGGTGAAAGGCTGTGTATTAGAAGGCAATCAGGCCCTGTTGCTGCAGCAAGGAGTGTTTTGCTCCCCCCCGTTTAGTTTCTTGTAGAAGGACCCTTCAAAGGGAATGTTTAGCCTTAAGCCTTTGCTTTGAGAACCATCTGCCTTTGCGTCATTGCTATTAAAGATATATATAATCTCAAACCTTGTTTCTTTGTGCCAGCAATCTCAAGATGTTACTGTGCCATGTGCTGTGAAATGCTGTACTAAAAAACCAGACATATCTCATGATTTTATGGATGAAAGGCTCCCAAATCGCTTTCCTCCCCTCCCACCACCCCCACAGGCTTTTCAAATAAGACTGAAGAGGACAGCAGGCAGGAGATTATGGAAAGGAGAACTGAGTTTCATATTTTCAGTTTAAAATAGGCCTAACTATGACTTCTGATCATTAAGTGACAGGAACAGCTTTTCAGACGATGGCGTTCAGGGCTGAGTTCAGCCTTGTGACTTGTACTCCCTCTGTATCACCATTAGTGATGCTGAAAGTTTCCTGAGTCACAGAGGTCCGATGGAGATTTATGTCCTGACTACACACAGGAAAGCTGCAGTCCTGCTGGCACCATCCTTGGGTCTTGCTGGGATAAAGTTGCTCTTTACAAACATCCCAGGAATGGGGATAAGGGAGGAAAGGGGAGTGGGGGGACTGGGTCTGCAATATGGAGCTGATGAAGAACTTGACTCACTGAGAATTTTCAGAATTTGACTTCAAATATCTAAATTATCTTTTTTTTTTTTTTTTTTTTTTTTTTTTTAAGCAGGCAGTAGATGCTCTTGAAAATGTGTGTTTTATTATGACCAGGAGCTTTTCGTCACTCTTGGCTTCTAGGAAAGTCTTACATATTTAGCCTTTTCTATGCAGACTGTGGAAGATCAGCCTGTTTGTTTTTGAATTTAATAGGAATATCAGACTGAGAGGGTATAAACCTTGACGGTGTTCTTTAATGAATGTTAAAATTAGCTCTTTTCTTTATTACTATTTCTCACAATGTTATGGCCATGGAGTAAATAATTAAAAAGAGCTTTTGGTCTTGTTGTTCTGTCTCCCGAACTGGGACTGCTTGTTTAATATTCCAAATGAACCATTGCCAGTTCTCAGGTTAAGTACCTCGGAGCTGTATCTCTTGGAGTCCAACCCCTACCTTCTGGTATCCTTATACATCTCCTGTCTGATATCCTACCCCAGGGTTTGTTCATAGGGATCAAGTCAATGCTGCTGCAGGGCTGGATTTACTGTGTGTGCTTGGATTATGTTCCTAGTGTGTGTACAGAAGTCATGGAGCAGGGCAAATAGTGTCCTTTCAGGCAATGCTGGGGCCAGGGATAATCTTGACAAGTGCTATCCCGGGCATACCTTCCTCCTACAGAGTCTGTACACCCTCAAGAGGGGCTGTTAGAGCAACTCACAGCAAATCCTGGGGCTCAGCCAGGTGCCAAATGCATCATTCCAGTGGTAGCCTCCATATCTTTGTCCTGTCTCTGGACTACTGATAGTGGATGGGAGGAAAGGAGGTGAGCTCTTAGGGAAATGGGAGCCAGGAATGGGCTGCTGTCACTGTCAGAGCTGCTTATCAACTGCAGGCTTGTCTGCAGGGACATCTGAGAAAGGGGGTCCTTAGGAGTGTGTGATGGACCAGATGAAGTTTCCTGGTGAGAGAGATTTAGAGTGACAGACACATGCCAGAGTAACCCATCACTGCAGCTAAAGGGGAGGGCCGCCCTGGACCTCTCTCCCAGCTGAGAGCAGGTACTGATCGAGTTGCTGTTGGAGTCCCTCTAAATACCTATTGGCTTTCCTTCTCAGTAAGCTCTCTGGAGCCATTGTGGACTGGAAGGCTGGCCTTTCAGGGCTCCCCAGCACCTACCTTGCTGCTTTCTAGAGCTCTCTGCTTCCACATGGAGCATTGCATAGCTCCATTAGGGAGCATTGCATAGCTTTTTACACCAGAAGGAACATCATTCCAAATGCTCTGAAATAGGCTTTAATCTTTTAATCTCTGCCATGCACTGCACAAAGCACCATCCAATGGTTTTAATACTTCATAGTCATAAAGTTGGTTGTTTGAGGGTTAGAGGGCTGGGAACTGATGCTTTTTTTTTTCAGAAAAAGTTGTATAATGGGAGAGAAAGTGCTGAACTGTGATTTGAAAATGTCTTCCACAAACTCTTTGATGTGAAAGAACTCGTTTTGCTCTTCTAAGTGAACTTTCACTTCCAAAACACACATGCTCTTTATATTTTATTTTTCAACTCTTTATTTCCTCTTTTCCCTTTAGATTCATTCTCTAACATCAAGAGTGTGAACTCTTCTGATGGTAACCTAGACATGCAGAGAGACTGTAATACCCTGGCAACTTAAAATTTCAGTCATGGATTAAAATGATCAAGAGAAGATATTTGAGGTATCCTTATTTCTGTTAGCTTTGTTACCTAACCCTGAGTGACAATGTAAGCAAGTGTGTGGACTTGCTGACATTCAGCAAAGCCATTTAGTAGCATCAGAACAAGCTTTGAACATTTTCCCTTTCATTTGGTGGTTCCCCCCCTTCATTTCTGCAAAATACATGTTTCTTGTTTATCCTTATATTCTTTTCAGAACATTGCATCTTGACTTTATTTCACTTAATGTACCACATTTCTCTCCACAATAGAATATTTTAAAGCTAAATTGGCACAAAACAGTAGCAAAACTGAATGCTTTTTGTTGCCATGGAAATATTTCTGGGCACTTACTGAAGACCTGGTTGCCAATAGTAATGTAACAGAGAAAATAGATATGCTTCATTTAGCAGCCACTGGTGATTAAAGAGCCACAGAAACTTGTTACAAGGTCATTCCAATATATAGTTTATTGGGTTTAGGGAAAAAAACCCCACAGCTCTAGATGAGAATAATTTTCTTTTAAAAGAGATGCAAACCAAAATCCAATAGATGTTCCCTTCTGTTAAACTGACAGCATACTTCTGAGATGAAATAAAATAAAGTTGTAGCTAAAAACCATCATTACCCCTTCTCCTTTTTACCAAATATGTTTTTGATCATATTTTTGCCTCCCAGGAAATGTTTCCTAACTCCCAGAGTAGATTTTCTTAGGCTCTAAAGCAGCATGCACATTGTTGAAAACCATTTTTAGTCTTAGGGATTTAATAAAGTGTTTGAGCAATGAAATTTTTGGGTTCTTGAGTAAAACTTCTGTCAGACACTGTGAGGCATGCTAATCACAGGGTGCAGGTTTGGCTGCTGCTGAGCCCTGGTCTGTAATTAAATGATGTTAGTAAAGTTGTAGCAAGGTTTCCAACAAACGCAGGAAAAGTTTTTACCTTTGGGTGCTTTTGATTCACAGCTTATTAATGAAGGGAGTTCAGGAAATATTGCAATGCCAGGTGTTTGTTTTAAGAAGTTAGTGATGGGAAGGCAGTGCATGCAGATCCCTGCCACCACTTGCAAATAATGTAGTTGTGAATTTTAAAAATACAGATGAACTTGCTCTTGCAGACCCGTGTCCGTTGTCTGACCTCTGTGTTTCTGATAAACTGTCTCACATTGCAGAGCAGAGAGAGACCAGCCTTTGCATCCCCCTGTGGCTTAAATCCTGCTGCTCAGCTGACTGGGGGTGGCTGGCAAGAGTGTGGCTGCCAAATCCATCATTTCACATTTGGTTTAAAAAATTGAGAGAAAAAAAAAAAAAGCACAACAGCAGAGCAATAAACCACATCAAAAAGTAGTGCACTGCAAGTAGAGGGGTAGATGTGACCAGTCCATCCTCTTCCCAGCATGAATCTATAGGGAAAAAACCAGTAATAATGAGAAAGGTGAAGAACAGCACTACCTGTGCCATGAAAGAAATGGATTTAGCCCACTTCTTCCTCAGGGCCTATGTCCTTTGCAAAGAAAAAGCCAAAGTGACCAATAAGTTAGGAATTTCAGCAGACACTGCCCTGAAGAGGCATGGGGACAGACACAGCAGCAGAGCTGAGTTTTCTGAATCAGAGCTGAACTATTTTTGCCTAGCAAGTTCTGTGATGGAAGAGTCTCCCGAGCTGTCTGACACTGTGTTCATAAACACTGGTGTAATATATAGGTGAGCACGACACTTCAGCTGCAAGAAGTCCTTGGAGATTTTCCCCCATCAACTAGACAATCTCAATGCTAGCCAAAGATGGCATTTTAGTTGCACTAAAATAATTTTTGTGACCTTGGAATGCTAAGAAGTCTGACATCCTAATAGGAATCTTGCCTAGATGGGTGGATAGTGCTCCTCAATACATGTACAAGGAGAGGCCCTAGGAGTTTTTAAAACTAGAAAGCACTATTGCATCTAGTTACCTTGGCCTCCAGCTTCACAGGGGTCATTGATTTTTGCCACTAATTGCTGTGGTAAAGGAAATTATTCTTTCTGCTCTATATGAACACTCCTGACCTCAGTAAATGACTTTTCCATGGGGGCAGGAAATCCTAGGCAAGAAGTGAATTTTCATTAGGTCCTATAAACCCATATAGCAAAATATACCCGCAACAAAAAGATACTGATTATGTGATAAATTAAATTTCTGCTTGAACTTGAGACTAAAATAGGTGGATGGCCAATCTCCATGTAAAGAAGTGAAATGTTTATGGATTTTATCACCTGTCTGGGTATGGAGCCAGCCAGTGTTCTAG